CCCCAAAACCCCAAAACCCCAAAACCCCAAAACCCCAAATTTTATTTCTTATGAAATAATTTTAAAATAAATTTATAAGATGGGAGCAGGAGTAAGCTGGCTTTTTAGGTTAGGTTTTGACTGGGGATTTATTACTGTGGGTGGATAAGGATTGGATTTTAGAGCGTCAGGATTAGTAATGCGATTAAGAAGACTAAAGAAGGCATTTCGAAGTTGAAGAGGAGATTGAAGAAAAAGAAGAGAGGAAAGACTCAGAATGAAGATCATCTTAAGATACCGGGGGAGTTCGATCAGCTGTTTGAAGGTATGGATATGAATGATGGTGATGAGTCTGCTGCTGTTCCTGTGTGGCATACCCAGTGAGTACCTCCTAAGAAGTGCTTGTCTAAATAAGCACACACCTGCGAACATGTATGAAATAGATTACGTCTATGGTGGCAAGATGAATGATGTAAGGCCTTTATCGCTAAAATTTAGAAATAACATGGAAATTAATTACAAAGGTAACATAGTCTACACCGCAGGGTGTCTTGGAATTGTATTAAATCCAGAAAAGAACAAGCAAAAAATCTTTGGAGGAGAAATGATTGACCCCTCTCATGCGATGATTGGAAAAGATGTCAGTTGTCATACTGATGAAATTCATTGTGTAACTCTATGTCCTCAAAGACGTCTAGCCGCCACTGGACAGTTCGGGTTAAAACCATGGGTAATGATGTGGGATACAGTTAAATGCAAACTTCTAAAGAAGATTCGACTCAAGCAAGGTTGTAAGGGAATAGTTTCAATGTGATTTTCACCAAGTAAGCCATACAAGCTAGCTATCCTTGATGGTAGTTCTCAATACACTGTATGGATTTATGACATTGATCCAAAACATGAAGAGCCTATTTCTCAAATTGACACCGGATCTAAAGAAAAATATGACATTGAGTGGGGGCTGAAAGAGTTTGAGCTTGATGAAGACCAAAAATTAGCTGAAACTTCTCTCAAGTGCTGGAGAAGGAACGCTGGAAAAGAAAAGACAGTTGAAGAGGAAGAGAAAGAGCAAAAAGATAGAATTATGAATGTTATTGCTGTCACCGGGAACGATAGTGCAAAATTTATTACTTTCAGGATTACAGACATCGATGATCCTGAGATTAATTACGGAGTAACCTTACGTAAGCACATCTATGATTATACCTGTTGTGGCATAAATGAGCTTGGGGTAGCATACACTGGAACGATAGATGGAGTCGTTCTAAAATGGGATGTCCGCACAGGAGGCCCTAACTACTCAGGATTGTATGAAATTATGATAGAAAGCAGAACTCATACTAGAGAAATTACAACATTGAAATGTGTAGAAGAATATATCATCACAGCTAGTCTTGATGGTAGAATTATTATACTTGATAGTGATTTAAGTAAAAAGAAGGAGATAAAAACATCTAGAGTTCTTATGGCTCTTGATTACCATTTTGACAAGCTTGTTTATACAACAAAAGATGGAGAGATAGCTTACTATAATCTTGCGGTCAAAGATTTTGAGAAAAATGATATCAAAGCTGTCCTAGGAATGGTTCCCAAAAAGAAGCCATTTGGGCCAATATAACTGTCATGAATTCACATTTTTCAAATGAAGAGTGAGGTCTTGTCTTGAACAACAACTTGGCTTATACAAGTGGAGATGATAATCTTTTGATTGAGATAGACTACATCGAGCACCAAATCCTTGGTGTTTATCAGACAAGACCTGACAAGAAGAGAAGAAGGCCGATAGTAGCCAAGAATGCTCTTCTCAATGCTGCTTTAAATAGTATAATTCCAGAAAAGGTAGAAGCAGATCATTTTGAATGAGACTTAGCATTCAATGATGCTCTAGGACATCTGGCTGTGACTCATAAAGGTGGAAAAATTGTTGTCAAACCAGTGGAAGATTTGAATGAGGTAATGATAACCTTAAACTTTTATAGGTTGCTTTCATTAAAGATGATCCAAAGGATTCTTGAGAATGTCTAGAATATTCTCCAGACCTGAAATACTTGGCAGTTGCATGCTATGATTGCAATATTTACATTTATAAATGTGAAGACAAGGAATACAAGCTGCATAAGACTCTTGAAAAGAACCCTGGAGGAGTCTTTGCTCTTGACTGGGAATTAGGTGGTGATTACATTAGAGCTAACTGCACTAATGACGAGATTGTTTATTGGTTAGTTGACTCTGCTAAACAGATTTATGATTACAAATAAAATCAGAGATCTCAATTGGGACTCCCATAATTGTAAACTTACATGGGAAACCAAAGCTGTGTTCCCATATGGTCACAAAGAGGATTATATCAATTGTTGCTGAACTGATCGTGATAAAGAAGTAATTGCAACTGGAGATGATGATGCTTTCATTAGAATTCATTCAATGTGTTGTCTGAAGGCTCATGCTGCAGAGATGTCTGTGGAGTGATCAAAGTATATTGAGAGCCAAGATCCACCGTGTAGAAAAAACAAAGAGTTTATACACAAGTACAGAGCCCATGCAGGATATATTGGAAGGGTCTGATTTGACCATGACGGTACATATTTATTTTCATTAGGAGGAAATGATAAGACTTTAATACAATGGAAATCAGTCAGAAGCTAATCAAAATAGCCCCCAAATACCATCAGTTAAAACAATATCTCAACTCCCAACTCAAATCTTGGGGTTTTGGGGTTTTGGGGTTTTGGGG